CAAAGGTTTTAAAGAAAAGCGTTTCTTCTAAAGAAAGATGAATCACTGAAAACCTAAATTAAAAAAACAAATAAAAACACCAAAAAACTGTCCAAGTCTGTGCAAAGTGAGTTATCACTTTTTGGCGATGGTCTCAAGGACAGAGAACAACCTGTCCATGTACTCTCTCCCCTCTTGTGCTCGCCGCTCCTCCGCCTCCCTCTGCAACCTCATGTCCTCCTTGATGAGGTCAATCAGCTCATCATCTCGCCAACTCTTCCTTGGTCTCGTCCGTGGTCGAGGACCAGTCGTCCGTTCATCTGCATCTTCCTCTTCCTCCTCCTCTGCTTGTTGGGAACCCACTGCAGAGCTTGGTCCCGGTCTGTCATCAGGGATGGAGCTCAGTAGGACGGGGGCGGCGGCTCATCGATGGTTTCTGGCCCAATACCTCATTCATGAGGACAAACCAGGGCCAAGTCTCCGCAGTGGGCTTCCCAGCAACTCCTTCTCCCGAGCCGGGATATTTGCACTCCTAAGAAAGAGTGAAGCATTACAAGAAACATCAGGTTGGAAAAAAATGGGTTAGCTGAATTTCATCTTCAAAAATGTACTTGCCTTGTAACGTTTTTTTAGATTGTCCCATTTTTTTGGCCTGCAGTGTGGTACCTAAATGGTCAATCTTCATCTGCTCCAGTATTGACCTAATAAAATAAAAAAGCACAACACTCACAATGCTGATATCAAAAATGCAACACACATTTCTTTTAAGATTGCTATTAGTGGAGGGAAACACAAATGTTTTTAAGAAAGCTGTACAGTCCTACAGAAAAATAGAACTTCTTTGGAAAAAATCCAGTGTCCACAGAGACAGTAGTATAACCTTTCCCTTTTTTTTCTTTTCAATTTTATTAAAAAAATAGTAATTGCAGATAAAACAATGGTCAAACTTACTTCCAGGCTACACTGGCAGAATGCTTGGCCCCAGTAAACAAGGCCTCTTTGGAGGCCCGCAGCCTAATAAACTCCTCCATCTTCTCCTTGGTCCCTACAAACAGAAGGTGTGTTATTCCACAACAGATTCCACGAAATGGTCAAAATACCTAAAGCATGTTCAAAACCATGTTTTTTTTGGGTTCTTTTCAGGTTGTTATTAGTAATAAAAAACACGAATTCGAAAAACACCCTTAATTAAATAAGCACACATTCATACAGAGGATTTAGCATGAGCACTGTACTTTACATGATATTCAAGCACAATTTTTAGCTATATACATACATTTAAAAGACATTTCCTCCYGCGAGTTATCCAGCTCAGCCATCTTCTAATTTGCCGCGGCGCGAAAATCTCAACTGGCGCTATTAATTCTGGGATAGCCTCCGCCGGAAAGGATACTCGGATGCATCCTTGGATTTCGATAGGAAGTAGGACGCATTCCTCGACCGCATGAGGAGGAGCCTTTGAATTGGGACAGTCCTCCCAGCCCCTGAATTGAGACACAGCCAGAATTTCAGGCATGTAGTTGTAGGGATCAGCTCGAGTTAAATTATCAAGGAAACTCTCTTGGACTCTGTCCTCTTATGGGCCTTCGAAGGGACAAAAACTCTGTTCCACTTAGAACTGGCCACCCCAGGTCACCTTAACCATAGAGACATTCTCTTCCTCCTAAATCAGATAAAAACAGGAGAATCTTCTCTTATTTGATTTAGCGTTTTCTTAACTGAAAGTATTACGCATTTTGATAATCAGAGAATGTTTATCAAAGTTACAGGAGAAGAGAGGACAGATCT